GGGCTAAGAAAATGATTGAAAACTTAGATTTATGTACTTATGTATACAGCCATATATATGCTTTTTTTTCAGATACAGTTAGTTGATTTTTAAACATCAGTGACTGTTGAACTCTCCATGTGCAGATGAAGGGTTACATGCTCAGGTAGAGTGAGAGAGACTAATTTACATAAGAACGAGTCATAAACTGAAGAAAGCGTGACTACTAATGGCGTCACCTTCTTGACTTTGAGCAAAATATGAAGCGCATTTTCCGAGACATCGGAGACTGTGTGGAAAACAGAAGTGGCAAACAATGGCAGGTACAGTCAGGGACTCATTAGGAATTGAGATACCAGCTGTGTGTCACCAGGAGCTTGAAAAATTAGCTGGGCTGCTGGAGAGGAGCATTTGTCGGGATATGATGGATGGAAGGGATCAGAACGCCAGAGTTAGCTGACATTTCTGAATCTAAATAAGCTGCTTAATATTGCTGAGCAGAAAAATAAATCTAGGTAAGGATTTTAAGCTTTCTCCTTAGCAGGTTCAAACAAAAGGAAAAAGTGCTATTCTGTGGCCCGAATCTGGGCAAGGTTAACAGTCATTGGAAGAGCTGGCGATTTTCCACAGTTTTATACACGCATTCGCGCGCGCGCGTGTGTGTGTGTGTGTGTGTGTGTGTGCGTGTGTGTGTGTGTGGTGTCTGTGTGTGCATGTGAGGTGTGTGGCGTGTCTGTGTGTAGTGTGTCTGTGTATGTGGTGTGTGTGTGTGTGTGTGGTCTGTCTCTGTGCGGTGTGTGTGTGTCTGTGTGATATTTTCTTATCCCTTTTTCCCCACCCCTCCTACTTACATTTCTTTCCTTCCCTTGTAGTCCCAGTGTTTACCATTAAGGGTGCCTCGTGAGCATGGGTTGGGCTTATTCACTTGAACAAAGACAACGTTACCAGTGGGTCCACCACAGGAGCAGGACCCCCTTCATTCATGAGGCATTACCTGCCTCTAGCACCTCAGGAAGAAGTGTGGCTTTGTGCTGGCTAGTCACCTCAGCTTGACACATCAACTAGAGGTATCTGAAAGGAGGGACCTCAACTGAGCAAATGCCTCCCTAAGATCAAGTTGCCAACAAGCCTGTAGGACATTAGTGATTGATGGGGGAGGGCCTGTCCCACTGTGGGTGGTGCCATGCCTGGGCTGGTGGTCCTGGGTTCTATAAGAAAGCAGGCTGAGCAAGCCATGGGGAGTAAGTCAGTGAGCAGCACCCTCCGTGGCCTCTGCCTCAGCTCCTGCCTTCAGGTTTTGTCCTTTTGAGTTCCTGTCCTGACTTCCTTTGATGATGAACAGTGTGATAGGGAAGCATAAGCCAAATAAACCCTTTCCTCCCCAACTTGCTTTTTGGTCATGGTGTTCCATTGCAGCAATCCTTGATGGATTGTCGAGTGACCCAGACCTCCAGCTCTTACCGTCTCTCAAGCACCCTCTTTAGTCTTCACACCTGAGCCTTGGAGGGGATGTTTTAAATGTCCCTGTTAGCATCAAGCACTGACAGCTACTGATTCTCATCCCTTTGAAACGTCTCTGACCTGAGAGTAGCACTAATCTCTGGGTTTAAACGTGAGAATGTGGAGGACAGTTTGACAACTGTTTATTCAGCAACACAGCGATGGCAGTTTCCCACCTAGGACCTAGGACCTCCACAATCACAGCTTCTGACCAGGTTTACAGTCTAAGGCATGAGTTCCCTCCAGTGCTGCCAGGCTAAATCCAGTGAGAAAGCAGTTACCCTCTGACGATTGTTCCATCATTTCACGGGTGGGAACATCTTATCCAGAAGTTGGTACTTTAGCACACACTTTCCACAGCTGGGTAAAAACTATTGCTAACTTTCTCCCCCACAAAGCCTGAATGGTACCTTCCTTCCAGCCCTGTGAAAGCTAACCAGCAGGGAAGATGATTCCAGGTCAGTATAAGCTCGATTTCTCTATGTCTTGGGACTGAGGCCTGTGGTGTCTTCAGCTGTGGAGCCTTCCCGTCTAATTTTGCCTGGCAACCAAAAGCAATGGCAATAGCCTGTTTTTACAGGGGATCTTGGGTCTGCCTGACCAATAACTCATAGGGAGAGCTGACTCTTGCATTGGATTTCTGTTTAAAAGACTATGGCTTCCTGGAGTATCATTATCCACTGAAGCAACCTATTTCTGATCACACATCTCTAAATTCTACCTTTTAATTACCTCCCAAAGTAGATTTCCATAGGTAGGACTTTTCATGCAGTATTCATTGTAGTTCTCCCTTCCTCCTCTCCCACCCCATACTGCTCATAAAACTTGCCACCCCGAGTATTCTCTCCTACTTTTAGGTCACATGTGTCATATGCCCTTCCCCAAGATCCCTATGCCCCCTTTCTGTATTCCTGGCCTCTGTAGAAGTCTTACAACTTTGAATAATGCTGTTTTTGTTTGTTTGTTTACCTCTTTTTTTTAGAGGAAAGCTAGGCCTCATGGGTAATTGTTCAGTGACAGAGGTAGAACACTTGCTTAGCATGAGCAAGGCCCTGAGTTCCATCACCACCCAGCACAAGAAAGCATGGAGGGGAGGGGGTGAGGCTAAACCCTGGAACCATTGACTCATTGTTAGTATCTTTTCGAACACGGCCTGACGACGAGGACAAAGCTCTGCTGGCACCTCTAAGGCTTTTGAGGGAGACTCCGGGACCTCAATGCCTCCGGCTGCTGTCGCCTCATTTCCCATTGCCTCCACATCATGTCTATCGGGGAGGGAGTTTAACCTTTGGCATCGTGAGACAGTGTCATCTGCAAATGTGTGAGGCCCCCATTCACAGACACGCACGCTACTATACTCAACATGTCCTCTTCACGTTTTGCTTGAAATGTTTTTACGTGGCCGTGCCCAGCTGCACCTGGTCCAGCAGGGGACTCGATCTCATTACCTCCTGGCCGAAACCTCTGGTGTCTGAAGTGTACTCTGTGCACCAAGCCTAGTGTGCACGGAGCATGACCTTGAGGCTTCCCTCCGTTCAAATTGCAGCTGTTCATAGGAACTTGTTTTTAAGACCCTGGGAGTGAACTCCTGTCTATTTTTCTCCCAGTATTTTAGACTGCCGCGCGGTCTCAGGCCACCAACCCCACATCACTGGGTGCTGTGAAACCACCCTATGTGGTTTCCTGACAACGCTCCTGTGTCTGCTTCTACTCTGCTCTTCATATCTAGACATACGTAGTTGTGGGTTGTGGTGCACACTCACATATACCGCATCTATATCACACACACACACACACACACACACACACACGTGCGCGTGAGTCACTGGACCACCACACATGGCTATTGGCACCTGAACATGAAATGTCTCCCATATGTGCATGTGTTTGAGCACGTGGTCCCTAACTGGCAGTACTGTTTCAGGCAGCAGTGAAAAGACGCTGGGTTTTGCTGTTGGAAGTAAGTCACAAGAGTCAGTAGAGCCTTGAGGGTCATACTCTGACCGTGTTTCCCATGTCTTTTCTGTTTCCTGGTCCTTAGAGATGCCAGGGAGCAGCTGGGGCATGCACCCGTTGCCAGTCACCACAAACGCTCCCCTCCGCTGCCTCCCCTGCCAACATGGACTGTCTTTCCTCAAGCCACGAGCCAAAATAGGCCCCCGCCTCACACGTTATTTATTGCCCCCTATTTGAACGTAGTGAAGGGAACGTAGCTAATTACTCTGAATCAAATCACCTGGAGAGACTGAGCAGTTCAGTCTGAAAATTCGTTGGAGAGAGCCAGGTGTGGCCGAGCACACCTGTAACCCCAGCTTTCCGATATGGAGAAAAGAGCTTCAAGATCATTTTCTGCTGCATAGCAAATTCAGGGCAGCCTGGGAATGTACGAAAGCGTCTATCAAATAGAAAGAAAGAAAAGTGGGGTGACTGGATATAACTGCTGTAAACAGCCCGGAACTAGCTATTCATAGTCAGTGTGGTTTCCTGCCGGGCTCTTGCTTCACTCCCGCTGCCCCAAGGACTACCCTGCTTTTTAAAAATGTAGGCTTTCCACCCCGATTCTCACTTTCTGGAAGGTCCTACCTTTGCCTATGCTTTGTTCGAGCTAGCTGATGGAGATGCGGTACATGTATGTGTGCATTCAGCCAGGTCTTCTCACTGAGATGCGGTATATGTATGTCTGCATTCAGCCAGGTCTTCTCACTCACTAAGTCGGGAGTTTATGGGTCACCCGCAGCAGACAAGTAGCACATAAAGGATTCCTCTCACACACAGGCTTCTGGATTGGAGCAAAAGCAGGCGCACTGTGAGTCAAGTCCCTCATAGACCCCTGCCGTCCATTCTGCACCTGAACGATTAATCAGGAGCTCTATCCTTGTCTGTCTGCTACTGCTGGCCATACTAACCCTGCAGGAAGACCAGAAAAAAAAAAAAAAGAAAAAGAAAAAGAATGAATAGCTAAATTCCAGAGTATAGCCACCTAGGGGAAGGGAGCACATAGGGAGAATAGTGATGGCTCCTCAGGGCTTGAGGAAGTTGTCAGAGCCACCAAGACCCAGCGGCACTCAGTGGTGAAGGTTTGTAAGAAGGTGGAAAGGAACTTTGGTTACCCGAGTTCCAGAAGCTCCGCCCACTGTGGTGGGTGGTTTTGCTCCTGCTCTGCTACCTTTCCAAAGACCACCCACCTACCTCTTGCGACTTAGTATTTTCTGTGACTCCCTAAAAATATACAACCTCCCAGGAGTTTGCTAAGAGGCAAGCTAACCACCATCTACTTAGAACCCACTTCGTTCCACAAAGGTATGTCTGCCAACACGGGTGAGAGAGACAGAGAATGATTGATACTGGGTAAGTATAATGTGCTGTATTAGAAAGCGGGAGGAGACTAAAGGCTAGGAAAATGATGAAAGATTGTAGGAGAAATTGCAGCCAGCCTACCCAACCCGCAATCGCCCCGCCCTGGTGCCCCAGACTGTGCATGAGCACGCACATGCGCAGCAGGCACTTCCTCCTTGAGCCAAGCCTCCAAGCCTCAATGCCCAGAGACTGCTCACAGAGAGACACCTGACCCAGAGAGACCAACGAGGAAAGGACAACGCAGCAGAGCCAGCCGCCTGAGCCAATAGGACCTTGGGAGGGGGTATAAAGGTAGGTCTAACTAAACAATCCAGTCTACAGCAAGCTGGGCTGCCCAGTGCATGAGTGTCATCAGTGCTGCATCTTTCTCCCCTCCCCCAAGGGGTGTTCGAGCAGCGTGACCCGCAACAAAAGGTGAGTACAGAGAGCTTGGAATTCATCAATCCCAAGAGGACTGGCTATTCGCCGAAGAAGAGCCAAATTGGGAAAGTTCCGTACTGATCCAAGCCGGGAGCTTGGAAGAGCTGAACATGACGTTTTGAGCAGTGAGAGCATCAGAGTTAGGTGAGATTGCTTTGGCTGATCAAGCGAGAGCATTCTGAGCATCCGAGGTTGACCAGGGCTCTCCACTCTTCCAGTTCCACACGCACAGGCACCGGTTCAGTGGGAAGGCGACTCAGTCAGTCCCCTGAGTGGCCGGTGGAGTCATTCTGCCTCCTCACCCCATGACTCCGGGCTCTCATTCTAAGGCAGTTTCTTCCAGTTTTAAACATTTACTCCAGGAAGCAGGGATTGGCTGAGTGGGCCGTTTGTGAACCTCAGGAAGTACACAAACTTCACATGTCTACATTTAGCTCTGAAAGCAGGGTAAGCATGCATACTAATTAAAACATCCATAGAGATGGTATTAGCATAAGTTCTAGAAATTACAGCTTTGAGTCAATACAAAATTGATTTAATCCCTTCTCTAAGCAATGATTACACTCTAACCTTTTTAGTATTTTTTGTATAAAAATGAAATCCATGTTTCATGTTTACTCTAATTCTACATGTAACTGAATATTTCATAGATACTTCAGGTGGCTAGGAGTCTGCCCCTCCTCTACTCTGTGTAAACTATGAAAGGGAGACAGAAGGAAGGAGGAAATGTTTAGTTCCAGCTCTGCAGGTCTCTGCTCTGTGATTTGGGGCCTGTCACCCTGTCCTTTCAGCCACAGTGTTGGGCAGACAAAACTCCTGGCCATGATCAAAAGGGCGGCTTCCTGTGCCGCGTGTTCCCGTTATTCTTGCCCTCTGGTTAATTTCTCTGCCTTCCTTTGATGACAACTTGATATACCTCTGGTTCTCATGTTTAAGTAATGACTCTACTTTTCAAGCACACAACTCCCTTCCAGTTAAGACTTAGTTACAGGCAGCAGCTATAGCTTCCATCACCACGCAGAGTCAGCTGTCCTCCCAAGGGGCAGCCTGCCTGGCAGACAGGGACTGCATAGTCAGTTAGGGGAAAGGTTAGGAACGTTGCATCCGACTCATGTCTCTAAAAATCTGAAAGTTACAAAGCTGGAGAAAAGCTAAGAGACTTGCTGATGTGAGCCGTACTGCTGTGAGCCTGCCCTGCTGTTTGCCTGCTGAGGATTTTTGAGGCTAGTTCCTTTCTCTTACAGGCATTAGAGGGGGGCTTTGTCTCTATCAGTGCCTGTGTTCTTAGTGTGTTCTAACCCAATGGCAAAGGCTCCGTGAAGCAACTGATGCTGACATTTGTAGTCACCTGCTGGGGTTCTGCCGTATTTTAGGGGTTCATGTTTCCCTGGGCTTTACAAAGCTTCCTCAGCCAGAGGGTGTTTTGTTTAAGATAAACCGTGCCAGCACAATTGCCCACATCCACCTACCTCTCCAGCTCTTCCCACTCGTGTGCAGGACTTCCCTTCCCAGCGCTGCTGGCCTCCCTGGGCACTGGCTCAGGCTCTTGCTGACCCACTCAGCCGTGTCTTCTCTTTCTTCACAGCTGCATGCAAACCCCGTAGCACCGCACCCACTATAACTGAGCGGCGTTGATGTCACTGATGTCTTGTCACATACTCTGGAGCTTCACCACCTTAATTTTGCCTCCTTGATGTCTTCTCACAAATGCTAGAGCCCAAAACCTCATCAGATGGACCAGACACGTCATCCACTGGCCCTCTGAGACTTGGACCCTGGTCATCCTTTCTTTTTATTTTTTATTCTCTCTTGGTACCGTACAGTGGAATGGAGAATAGTCTCAGGAGGGGGAGAGGAAGTGAGGACGTAAGAGAAGTCAGTGCTCACAGAAACAAGACAAAGAGCGATAAGCCTGGGCACACTCCATAGTTAACCAGCCTTTGGGAATTAAGGCAGAGCCATGTGTCAACTCCCTGGCGAGGCATCTGGCATCAAGGCCAGCTCTTGTGTTGAACCCTCCCTACACAGCCACATTACTGACGTTCCTCCCACTTCTGTTTTCACTTGCCCCTTGACTGTCCAGAAGTTGGAGATAAGAGTTATAATTTGACAATGAGTCAGTCAACTTGATTTTTGGGAAGCATTGTCCCAAACTTTACCTCCTTACTTAAAAGTGTCACTAAGCACTGGACTGTTTTCTTTAATAGTCCCAGATGAGACTGCACTGCCTTCTGTACCTTACACCCCAACTACCTATCCCAGCAACAAAAGGAATCTGGGGTTGGGTAGCAATGGGTAATTTTTAAAACTCAAGTCTTAGCATTGAAGCTTTCTATTGTACTTAAGCTGGTTTGTACATGAATGTAAGTTGGGGTTGGGAGTGCATGAAAAATATAAGCAATTTGTGACCATCTGTGGAGCTGAAAATAAAATAGATACTGTGTGTGTGTGTGTGTGTGTGTGTGTGTGTGTGTGTGTGTGTGTGTAGGAAGAGGAAGAGGTGGGGGAGGAGAAAGAGAGAGGTCTTTGTATCCTGTATTGGGAATACAGTTTCAAGTGAAAGTTGGTGTTTTTATCTGACTTGTCAACATTATAGATGATACTGTGTATTTATAAACATATTTGCATATCTTTTATCAGATGAATGTTCTTGGTTGATTTAGTATTCCTGACTGAGATTACCAGGAACATAAACTAATATTTTAAACTAAGATGAAAACTGGGGGGATTTGGCTCACTGTTCTAGGTTCTCTTGACCTTAGGGTTGTGACCTTTAGAGTGAGTGTTCCATGTGGTTACAAGAGTGAGAAGGAGCCGCTAACCTTTCACCTGTGTTCAGTCACCGTGTTGCTAAAGTGAGCAGTCAGCAAAAACCGTTTGTAAGCACCTGATATGAGTGAGCACACAGGTGACGCTGTTCCGGAGACAAAGGCGCAGGATACTGTGGACCAACCCCGACACTTCCGATGTGTGCCACTCAATTACTACAAGGCAGCCTGTTAGCGTTCAGGCACTGTACTGGCCTGTCCTTGGGGTTCTGACAGGACACGTTCCCAGCTGCAGCCACTAAGAGCACCACCTGTGCACATTCACTACGTTCCCTTTCAAAAGGGCCCTGCCCACCTCCTCCTTCCCCCTCCTTCCCCCTCCCTCCCTCCTCCCTCCCTCCCTCCCTCCCTCTCCTTCTCCCTCAATCCCCCCCTCTTTCTCTGCCTGTCTCTCTGTCTTCCCCCACCCCGCCTCTCTTTTCTCTTTTCTGCTGCTCCTATCCCCAGAGGCTAGGATCCCCTTTCCCTCCCCTTTTTCCTGTTCCCTTTCCCCTAATTAAAAAAAAGCAAGCAAGCAAACAAACAAACAAAAAACCCTGCAAGTGAGCTCCGTTGCATGGTGTCTTTTTTTCACACACCAGTTTCACCAATTTTCAAATTACAACACAGTGTCTAACAGACAGTAAACTCATGACTTTGGTCAAATTACATGCCCCTGCCTGATGCTGAAAAGTATAGTCAGTGACTCCATTTGTTGTTGCTGCTGTGTGTGTGTGTGGGGGGGGTGTTCACGTGTGTATAGTGTTCATGTGTGTAGCATGTATGTATGAGTTGGGAGGTCAGAGAATCCTGGGCGTCTTCCTCAATTTCTCTCCACCTTCCTTTTTGAGATGGAATGTCTCACTGAGATCACTGGGATGGGTAGGCTAGCTTGCCATTCACTGGGATGGGTAGGCTAGCTTGCCATTCACTGGGATGGGTAGGCTAGCTTGCCATTCACTGGGATGGGTAGGCTAGCTTGCCATTCACTGGGTTGGGTAAGCTAGCTTGCCATTCACTGGGTTGGGTAGGCTAGCTTGCCAGTGGACTCCAAGGATCTACCCCTCTGCCTCCTGGGCATCGCGATTGACGTCTGCACCTGGCTCGCTGCACAGGACCCAGGATCCAGACTTGGGTCATTGTGCTTGAGCAGCTCTGCTGGATTGAACTCCCACTGCAATTTCTTGCTGCTATTTCCCTCCATTTTACAGACGGAGAAACTACAGGCCAAGGGCTGGCCAGTGCACTTAACCAGAGTCACAAGGTCATGGGTGACTGAAAGGTCAGCTGACAAACAAAATGTTAAATCTCCAATCCCGAGGCAAATGGCTGAGGTGCTTATTTAACACATCAGAGCAGGCCTGACCATCAGGCTCTCCCAGCATCCTCCAGCCCCTACCTATTACAGGATGTGGCTGACACACCCACCTTCTGTCCCAATTCTCCAGCCCAGGGGTTGGATTGCCCCTTCCCCCAGGAGCCCCAATCCCCATATCAGGTAGCCGTTTTGGCTAGAAACCCTTTTGTACCTTTGCTCTCTGGGATGCTACACCTGGTTCCGCTTTCTCTCCTCTCCTTCCCTGTCCCCTTCTCCCCACACGGCCCAGCTCAGCCTGCTCATGTCCACTATAGACTCTCCCAGATGTCCCTGCCTCTGACTGTGCTCTCCCTTCTATCTGCAATAAACTCTCTCCTCCACCGCACCCAGGAGCAAACGTGTCCTTTCCTTTTATTTTCTTGTTTTGTTTTTTCATTCAGAAAGAAAAGCAAAACGTGTCATTAATGCAACCTTCGCTCCATAAAAAAAAACAAATGTTAATCTCCAGAGAGTGGGCATCTGGGTACAGATGGAGTGGGGAGCAGAGCAGCAGAGACAGAAACCCTGGGATAATACCCTCCCTCTTTTATGGTCATCATTTGGGCTGCTAGATATACAAAGGGTGCTTGGGGAGGCTATAAAATAATTAATAGTGCATGAGAGGAACATTTATATTTCAATTGTCTGCGTTTAAGAAGCAGTTTGCATTTCTGTTGAAGGCTTCTAATCATGGTCTTGAATATGAA